GAAGAGCAGCACACAGACACGGGCTCTGACGTCACATGCAAACCTGGACCACGCTCGCGGAGATCCGACCTCGCGAGATGCTTTGAATATTGGATACCGAGGAGCTGAAGATTAAACTCACACTTCTGTCTGTCCAAACATAACTGTGAAACAGCACAAAGTAGCTACTGCAGTGAACGAGCAAACACGAAAAGTAGCTGAAATTCATGAAACAGGGAATGTTCTAAGTCCAGTTTTAAGAACAATGTGTGCAGTCACTGCATGCGAGTGTTTAACGTTACGAACGAACATATTAACGTTAAAGCCTTTGATTTATTTTACAAGTGAAATGTTTTGCGGGTTTAAACTGCATTTGCCTATAACATAAAATAAAGCTAGAATAAGGTTTTAAAATATATATTAATTCATTTTAAAATAGTCTCCAACATTAGCACTTTCTCAAAACAAAGGAACTCAGAGATATTTCGTCTTCGTTGCTTTGAAAAAAATGTCCGTATGGGTAAATTCATATTAATTTAAGTCATTGTGTTCCAGTGGGCCCCCTCCTGGACGTCAAAATAACATCACATATTGTTTGATATGTTCATAATCAGTTACATCTTTGCCATTCCAAGCCTTTAATTTAGGTGGAAAGGAGTGTAGGCTAATTAACGTTAACAACATTGCTAAATTACAGCAGTGCAGAGTAGGCTATTAGAAAAAACTTGGAGTGAGCCTATTAAGGAATTTCGACAGTTTAGTTTGGCTGCGAATAAAACATGTTTCAGATCCGATTAATCTATTGACCGATTAATTGTGCGTAATTAGCCTACCAAATTTACCATCATTGACCTACATGAAATCTAGCTTACATTTTTCGGAGAGCCTATATTTAATTATTTCTGCTTCTATTGAAAATGACTGAAATTATTTGTCTCCTTAAACGATACGCACCTTGAATTAAACTCTAAAATTGTATTGCGAATCATTCGTGCTTCTCTCTTAAGTCAACTTAAATCTTTTACTCTGTCCATTTTTGTCATATTTGTACTTCGATATAGATAAACACTTCTCCTCCGGCATGTTTAATGTGGATTAAAGTATGCCTACACACATATTTTAAAAGCAACCGTAATGAATCATTTCGTTTATTGCACCCTGAAAATGATTCGGACAATCAAAGTCGTGTTGTTAATCCACTCACTCTCAGTGACCGCGGGTCGAACCTCACCTTTCACTTTGACCTCTAACCCAGCAAAGAAATGCATTTCATTTAGGCTTTACTAAGAAACCATGTTGTCTCCATGAGGGGGTCGAGAAGAGACATATGAGATTGCATGATGTACCGAACACAATATTAGTGTTTTAAATGTGCTTTAATCCTAGTTGAAAACCTTTTGTGGTGTCGGCTATTTATAAAGTCAATTCAAAGGAATGAGTTCAAACAAATAGGCCTAAAAATGGCCAGAATAAAACAGTTTTCTTTTTTTGATGATGATTTTTAAAAACTATTTTATTGTGTAATTTTATTGAGCAGTCTCGAACGTTAAATTCTTCTTTTAATAACTACTACAGTAAATCCAAAAAGTCATAATAAATAATAAAACATAAATAATCTCCATAAATAATAAAAAAATAAATAATCTCCATCGTTCTCTTTTGTCTTCAACTTAAAAAACAAATCATTATTTTGCACGTGAATACAAAGCATAAAATATCATGTCAAATCAATAAATTACATAAAAGTAGTAAATAAAACAAACAAACAAACAAAAAAACAAAAGTTAATAAGAATCATACCACTAAAAACACTGAAAAAAGCTCATATTCATATCAAAATTTGACAGAAAACTTGCTGTGCATTTTTGGCTGTTTCCAAAAATGACCACTGCCTATAATCTAAAATCATAAATAAAGTCATAAAAATGCAACCCTCGGTCCAGTGGACCCTGCTGCGTTTACAGTCTCCGTACCAAGTGCCAACTCTTCTTGACTTGAACTAGAAGCTCCACAGATTATCAAAGCTATTAAACCACACCTCCTAATTAAATATCCACACCGACTCCGCCCACTCTGCTATTAGACAGTTCCGTCTCTACTAACATTTTATTGATTATTTATTTTCTTATACATTTATATATATATTTGACTATACGCACATATCCTGAGAAATGTTACCACCAAGAAAACCACATTCGAGCTGTTACAAACTGATTTATACTCAAGAGGGGGGTGTCTCTTATGATCTCGCAAAGTCTCGCGAGAACTCAACTTAACCTCTATCCCCTGTTACTAAAGCAGGGACAGTGTGCTGCTGTAATCATGCTCAAAGCAATAAACAAGACACATCTCCGGCAGCTGGTAAGACAAATCCGTCGAAACGACACAATAGCCAGTGCGCACTTCCTTTTAAAGCTGTTATTTGTGCTCTCTAACGTAGAGTCCCTTCTAGACAGAAATACTATTAAATGAATAGCTTAGCACGCTGGCTAACTCATTCAGTTCAGCAGAAGTTAGGCAATATGTTACTAAACTGCAGTTCTTTACCATATCATCTTGTTTTATTGTGTTGTTTTTTAAATGTGAGCGTTAAAGCGCAATGTCAAATGTTTTGGTTACTTTGCTAACATATTTTTCATGGTTGTACAGGATGCTAGCTAAGCGTCTAAACGACAAGTTTCATATATTCTCATAGTTTTGCTTCTTTTTATAGCTATAAACAGAAGTATTGACCTTCTGAACAACATTTAATAAACGTGACATGTTGTTCATGACACTTGGTATATGATTAGGTAATAAACAGAGCTTGCTAATTATCTGTCAAGGTTATGCAATATGTAAACAGTGCATTATGAAACCTCTTCACTGTCCTTAAAGGGATAGTTCACCCAAAAATGAAAATTCTGTCATTTACTCACCCTCATGCCGTTCCAAACCTGTATGAGTTGCTTTCTTATGTTGAACACAAAATAAGATATTTTGAAGATTGCTGGTAATCAAACAGTTGCTGGTTGCCATTGACTTCCATAGTATTTTTTTTTTCCTACGACATGAGGGTGAGTACATGATGACAGAATTTTCATTTTTGGGTGAACTATCCCTTTAAGTAACTGCTTGACCTACAATGCATTTAAAATGTGACCTACATTGCATTTGATATGTTAATATATTAGGTCAGATCCTAGGTAGTATCAGATCCCTGCTATGTCTCAGATTTCTGATGACCTCTGCGCTGCAGAACAATGTCTGGCTGCACTGCATTACATAGTAACC